GGGGGGCTGGGGCTCGGCGGGCGCGGGCCGACGCCGGCTGGGGACCCCCACACTCTTGGAACACCTGCGGCACGGGGACGAGACCCCACACAGCCATCCCCCAGTGAAACCCATGCTCCGACACCCCCATCTCCCCTGGCACCCCGGATTTTCCAGAGACCCTACAGTGTCTCCCTGACAACCCACACTGTCCCCTCAACCCAGGCTCTCTCCTTTACCCTTTTCTCTAGAGCAGACACGCCCCCCCCGCCCCCACCCCCCGTCGACATTCCCACCCTTATCATGGCCTCTGTACCTGGGCTGACACTCCCACACTGTTTTCTTGTAGATGCATCAAACCCTCTGAAATCTTCACCCCGATGGACTGGGCGGCTAGCTCAAAGGAAAAGGGGCCCTGGAGCTTCTCAGCCAGGAACAGGAGACCATCTTGAAAGAGAGGAAGAAAGAGAAAGGGTGAAATGAGGGGACATCCAGGGGGGATATTCACTGAACTAGGATGTTCCCACAAATCCTCAGCTGGGCCTTGGAGGGAAGCAGCAGGTCTTAGATGGGGGAAACTCACATGAGAAAAGACCCCCCGCCATCCTCTCCCCTCAATATGGCTTAAAACTCTCTCCCCAGGTCACCCTGCCCACCCCCTACACAGACAGCCCTCCCAGGCTTTCCTGAATCCCCTCACCCAGATAGGCCCCCCAGTCAGGATCCAGTCCCTGGCTGCCGATACAGCCTTGGGCCACGTTGAGGCAGAAACCCCGGCAGGGTGGCAGCGAGGGGACACCCTGACAAAGGGGGCAGCCTGTCAGACGCATCACAGCCCGCCTGCAGCCTTCGGACATCGGCATCTGAGGGCAGAGAGTAGGGCTGTGTCATCCCCAAACACCATGGCTGCCCTCAGCCAAGCCCGGTGCTGGGCACGGAGAGAAATCAAATACTCCACCCCACCTTTGTGTAGAGCTGGGTGTGAATGTCTAGGGTTGATGATCCCACATGGCAGCAGGTAAGACCCCAAGACTGCCCATATCTGAGGAGGGAGGGTCCTAGGGGCCAGGTTGTACATAAGGTTTCTTGGGAGAAATGGAATTCGAGGGCACTGGGGGGAGGGAGGCGTCTGAGAAAAGGTTCAAGGACAAGATGAGCTCATCAGGGTTGGGGAGGGAGGAGACTGAGGATGCAGGAAGTAAGGCTAGGAGGTCAGGGAGAGAATGTGCAGTTGAGAGAGGGCTTTGAAGGCTAAGTCAGGAATCTGGCCTCTGGTAGCAGGGAGGAGGGAGCCACTGAGGGGTCCTGGAGGAAACCAGGAGGGCCAGTACTCCAATCTCAGAGATGCGATAGAGATGAGCAGGACCCCAGAGGTTGGCAGTGGGTAAAAGTCATCAGAGAGCAGGAGAGGGTACCAGAGGTGAGAGGAGGTCATAGGTTATGACACAAGGGAGACTTTGGCTTTCCTGATTTACCTGGGATGTCAGGCCTCGAGGCTGAAACTGGAGGCTAATATGGGAAGGTCCCTGGCTTTTCCTGCCAGCTGGCACCTGACTCTTCTTCGTGAGGCCTCTCCTACTTCTGCCTCTCCCTCCCTGGGCCCTGCCCATACTCAGGCCCCCTCTAACCTTAAGTGTTTCGCTGACCACATCTCTTCCGGTCTCCAGGCCCTGAATAAAGGCCCGGGCAGCCACCATGGCCCGGGTTATCTGGGGGAGGGAAAAGAAGGTGAGAAAAACCACAGGATCATCAAGGGTCAGTCAAGACTGGGGCCAAGAGACTGCACCAAGGGGACGAGCAGTGGGGGTGAGGTTTGTGGGGTTATCTTGGGGTGCTTAGGAGTGTTAGATGCTAGTTCCAGAGGCTCCAAGGAATCATAGGCTAGAAGGATAAAGAGGAGCTGGGTTTGGGAAGAGATGGAGGGACTGGATTTTACAATCAGAACAAAAACTGAACTTGAGGCCAGAAGACCTGGGTGTGAGACACAGCTCTACTAACACTTATGGGCTGTAAGACCTGAACCTCTGGGAGGTTTGGTTTTCTCATCTGTAAAATAAGCAGGAATGCTTATATCTACCTCATAGATGATAATTAAATGAGATACTATAAATGAAAGTTGTCCTCAAATAACAAGTGTCCAATTCACGGTTATTTGAACCAGAGGAAGTCAAGGTATTAGAATTATGGAGGAGTTGGCAGAAAGGTAGTTGGGGGCCAAGAGCAGGTGAGTGGGTCAGGGATTTGTGTGAAACTAGGACACAGAATGAGAGTGGCAGGGGTGTGTGGGGGGCAGCCAATTAAGGAGACCAAGGAGCATTGGGTCAGGCAGAGGTGACTAGGGCTCAAGGTAGGGGTCATCAGGTCAGAGATGGCTGCCATGCAGGATAGGAGGGTCACCAAGTCAGGGGTGAGTGGGGCATGATAAGAGGGTCATTGGGTTGGAGGTGTGTGGTGCACAGTTCAGAGGTCACTAGGTCAGAGGTGGCTGAAGCTCAGGCCTTGGGGTCCCTCACCTGCTGGCGGAGGCGGCGGGGTGAGTCCCCAAAAGGCTTCAGAGAATCGTCAGCAGAGGAGGCGAGGCGTGTGAGGCAGAACAGGTAGTCGGGGGAGAAGATGTACTGTGGGTGCAGCAGAGGGAACATTTTCTCCAGGAGCTGAGCCCAGAAATCCACCAAGGCATCATCTAACCCCTCACCGGACCTCTCATAGTAGTTCCGTAGCCGAGAGAACAGGCCACTGAACAAGGGGGTGTGCTGGGCATACAGGCGGCCAAAGGAGCGGTGAAAGAGCAGAGCCAGGGAGTGCTCGGATGATGAGAGCATCTCCCGGAAGACCTCTGTGGCAAGTGCAGAGAAAGGGGTGTGAGGTGGGGTGAGGCCAGAGAAGGATGGAAAAGTGAAAGGGCAGAGGCAGGAAGAGATGGGGTTGGGGAGAGAAGAGAAAAGACAAATGAGTTAGAAATTAAGCAACTCTCCGAGGTCAGGTCGAGGGTGAGGATGTGGAGGCTAAGCCAATGCCGGAGGCCTTAGGGATGGAGTAGGATACTTGCTGGGGTCATGAACACAGAGAGGAGGGGTGAGGCCAGGTTTGGGGACCCCAGGTCCTCACCATCAAATTTTCTGTGCCGGGCAGCCAGTGTGTGAACCAAGAAAGAGCCACTCTCTTCCACCAGGCCACGGAAAGTAGCCTCAGTCTCCCAGGTCAGCCTCTGCTCTATCTCACTGGAACAGCAGGTGTACTCCTGGGGACAGATCCGGAGGTGCTCACCTGGACAGAGGAGACATGAAGGAATGGTGGGAAGTGATGTCGTGAAATTCTTTCTCCTGCTGATCTCTAGGGGCTACCCATTCTTTTGCTCCTGTCTGGTCTCTTTTCTATTGTCTGCCACCTCATTCCCACCTGGCTCTACCCACTCCTAACTGTCCGCTCACCCATCCCAAGTCCACTGCCATTGGCCATGGAATCAAATAGGAATGGGCCAATTTTGTGGTCAGAGAGTCCTCAGGTAACCTTCCCTAACATCACCCACCCCGGGCCTCTGAGGACTTACAGGACAGCTTCAATGGGAAGAATGGGGGTTTGGAGGGGTGGGGTTATGTGGTAAGAAAAGAAAGTATTATCACAGAAGGGGCTCATAGAGATAGAGAGGGGAACAAATTGGACTGTGAAGAAAGAAAGGCAGACGGGGTGCTAATTACTAGAAAGGGATCCCCGGCGTGGGGGTGGAGTAAGAGAGCTATTATGTGAACAGGAGTGTTATTGTGACCCTGGTAAAGAAGTTGAGGAGGAGAAGAGACACTGTTACTCTGAGATGAAAAGATGATTATAACAGCCACTCTGAAAAGGAAGAGAGTTATTGTGAGATGGGGAGGACCCGCCCCCACCCCCCCTCCCTCGCCCCCAATTCTCTAGTCTTTCTCTTTCTCCTCACCTGAGATCAGGGCGGGAGGGAGTAGGCTTAAGCTATATCCCCGGGCACCCAGGATCTGCCGGGTCTCAGTGCAACTCCGGGTAACCTTTGCCTCGATACCGGGTCCAGGACCAGGACCAGGACACAGAGGCAACAGCAGAAGCAGAAGAGATCGCAGCGCGTACATAGCTGCTGCCACCTTGGGACGGCAAAGCGGGTCCTAAGGAGGAAAGAAGAGCGGCCCGAACTCGGGAAGCCAGTTCTCTGCCGCGGGACAGCCCCGCCAGCCAGAGAAAGAGCGCGACCTCCGAAAACTGAACACGGAGCACGATAGCTGGACCAGGAGGCATCTGCCGAGACAATGGGAGCGGGTAGCTGGACAGTGGGCGGGGCCCAAGGCGGGGCCCTGCCAATGATGGTAAGAAGTCAGCCTCAGGGGCGGAGTCAAGGGAGAAATTAAGCCAATGTCCTGGGGAAGCTCAGCAGTGGGGCGGGGCTCGGACGGACTAAGGAGGTTGGTCGGGGAGGGGCGAGGCCTTCCTCAGGGGCGTGGCGATCCGATTCCAAAGGCGGGGTCTGGGTGGAATCCAGCCTATGGCAGTTGATAAATCGGATTAAAGGAGCTACTACTAGTCTAGTGTGAAGCCTGGCCAATGGAGGGGAAAATTGGGGGCAGAGAGGCGGGGCAGGGGCTGGGGCCGGGGCGGGGCTGAGCTAACGCGGGCAACCGGCGCGCCTGAGCCCACGTGACAGAGCGGAACATTTGAAAGCTCGTGGCCGCACGAGGCTGCCGGGGCGGCGTGACTGGAACGTGGTGAGCACGAGCTCGCACACGCCCAAGCCTCGCGACAATTACCAGCCCTGCGAGGAGCCGTTGGGCTCGCGCCTGCGCATAACGCGCCTCGCGCCTTCCCGCGTTTTTCTGGTTTTTTCTGCCACCAGAAGGGAAGAGGAGGGCGCCGGTGCCGGACGGGGTCGGTTGACCTCAGAGACCTGAGGGACCGGAGGCGGTGACTTTTCCTCAACGCTTCTCAGCCAGAAGTCGCAGTTCTAGGCTCAGGCAGTGAGGCTCCTCTTTGACCCAAGCATTCGCCCTCTCCCACCCCGCGGCCCGGTTCTGAGAGAGGGCCCTCCCGCCTCCATGCCTCAGTCGCCGCCTCCGCAGAGGCCAGTTCTCCCAGCCCTGGCTCTGGGAGGCTGATGGTCGCTCTCCTGAGTGGTTAGACGTCCCCTTAACCCAAAGATATGTAGCCCGGGGAGGGGGCAGGGATACCCCCTTCTGGAAAAGGGAAGAACACGCACTTTGCTTGACTCTTTCAGCACTTCCGGCCCGGTTCTGATGGCGCCTCCACACCCAACTCCTTCAGCTTGTCCCATTCGTCCCAGTCCTTGGGGAGTCAGGTTCTAGCCTGGTAGAAATGGAAGTTTAGGTGCTTTTTTTCGTTTTCGTTTTCGTTTTCGTTTTTTTTGTTTCTAACGTATCAGCTGGTTTCCTTACACGGGCGATTGATGCTTCCGAAGCCTTGGGGCCGGGATTTGTTTGAAGCTGCCCTGGTGTGGGCCTTGCTGCGTGCTTGGAGAGCGACTCCAGATGCGAGGTCGGCGTCGGGGGCGGTTGTGCCTTTAACCTGATGCCTTAGGTCAGGACTCGCTCTGTCTTAGTTTTTGTGTCCCCCGCTGAGTTTCAGAGCAGTTCCCTTAGAAAGAAAAGGGGTTGTCAGGGCTGGGGCTGTGGTGGGGCAGGAAACCTTCCGTCTCTCTTCCGCAGCTCGTCCACCATGCCCACCCTGCGGTCGTCCTCTTGCCAGCTCCATAGCTCTTCCTCCCCGAGCAGCGTGTCCTCCCCACTGCACAGGATTGTGGCGGGTGGACCAAGGGGCTTGTCTGCGTCTTCTAGTTCGTCTGTCACTGTGCCTTGTGATGACAGAGACTTGGACCAGGCTTCAGACGGGTGAGTGGAGTCGGCGAGGAATTGTTGAAATCGACCGCTTTCTCCTGCATCATCCGCGATTTCCCACATGTCCTTTTACCGCAGGGATAGTGACATGCGTATGACTCTGAAAAGATGAGGTGCTATACTTCAGAACAGTGACACGCCTGCCTCCAGCTCTTCTGGCTGGTTTTTGACTGCCCTACATACTGGAGGCATCAAAAATAATACATGTTGTTGGGAATGCGTCACGTAATTTGTCTAAACTTTTCCTGAACACATTTGTATGTTCATCACCTATAACCTTTGGTGGGGGCCCAGAGATGGAAGAAAGGGAAAAGTGAAGAGTTCTTTATTTGTTGCCTGGCAACTAGTATCAACTTTTCAGTTGGTGTTCTGGAGTTCCTATATTTGGGGATTTTATAAACAGGTCCTTATCTGTTATCACTTACGATACTTAACGATATTTATGATAGCTTATTCTATGATGGTTATGAGTATATCTTGGTTCTTTTAAAAACTTTCTAGGGAAACTATCATCTCATACAAGGTCTGATTTATTCTCTGGTAATTTTTTTTATTGAGGTATAGTTGATGTACAGTATTATGTGTCAGATGGACCACGTAGCGATTCACAGTTTTTAAAGTTATACTTCATTTATAGTTAGGAAATTTTAATTAATATCGTCTAAATCATTTCAGTTTCTATCAGTGTTGCTGTTTGGGACCAGATTCTGTCTATGTTATAAATTCAATTCTAATCAATAAGACATGTGAATTTATTTCAAGGGGTGAAATTTAACTCCAGGCACGGCACATGTTAATCTCCTCTTTGTGTATAAGTAATACATGACTTCCTGATTCATGCTGATTTTTCTCTACACAGCAGTGGTCTCCCTGCCTGCTTACATGAATATCTTTTGATTCTCTTATTCAGAGAGGGTATTAGGAAAAGGTTGATCTTCACCTACCTCAGTTTCTTGTTCTTCATTTCCAGTGCTTTATTCAAGTGAAAGTTTTTCTTTAAGACATTTTCCCTACTTCCTGGCAACAGTAAGCTCATCTCTTCTTAAAATCTAAATCCTTTTTTCTCATGGACAGGGTATACAGTTAGAGACAAAGAGAAATTATAATTGATGTGCTGTTTTATATATAGGGACTGGGGTATTATATCTAAGCAGAACCACATCCCCTCATAGGGATAGTGAATCTTTGTCAGCTGATGAAGGCAGTGACTTCGAAGACAACTTGAGACGAAATGTGAAGAAGAGAGCGGCAAAACGACCACTCAGAACAACCCCAGTGAGTCAGTCAGTTTTGTTTTGAACCCTGTCTGGGAAACAGCAAAAGAAAACCTAGAAGAGACTCGGGTGATATGCTTGATGGAAGGACAAGGCTTACAGAGCGTTAGGGGTCAGAAGTAGGAAAAAGGTAAATTTTGAAGAGAAAAGAATAAGAAAAGGGAGTATCAGGATATAGAGGAAAAGGAATGGGACTAGGGGACTTTTAAAAGGAGAAGAGATTAGTAGTAAAGTTCACGATATAAAAATGAGTTATTTCTTTTTTATTGAAGTTTACTTGATTTACAGTGTTGTGTCTCATGTACAGCATAGTGACTTAATTATACACATATATATATTCTTTTTCATTATAGGTTTTTTAAAATAAATCAGTTATTTCTAATCTGAGTAACTCAAGCTCTGCTATGGAATTGGCAGCTTAAACCTTTCTGTGTGATAATTAGGAGACCAAGTGTTAATGTCACTATCACTTTTAAAAAAAATTCATGATCTCTTTATACTTACTAGGTGGCAAAACATCCAAAGAAGGGGGCCCGAATGGTACATGTTCATGGCCAGAGAGAGTCAGAGTCAGAGCCACCGGCTAGTGATCTCTTTGATGCTGTGAAAGCTGCCAAAAGTGACATGCAGGTAAAACAGTATCTCACCTCTTGTTTCTTCATACCATCTCTTCCCTTGTAGGGTGGAAAGATAAGGATGTGTGTTTCCAAACTTGATTTAATGTAGGTATTTTAGTGAACATAACCTATATCAGGAAAGGCAGATTAATACCATGGAGTGAATCCTTGGAGTGATATACAGGGAAGCTTGCCTGAGAGGGAATGTTTCTTTCCTTAAAGTATCACAGAACAGTATCGATTTTGCCTTTATTGATTGATGGGAGGAGGCAAGGAGAGGCATTGGATAATTTAGAGAAGGTTGGATATGGGTGGCTGCTTGTTCACCCTTGTCACTTTTTAGTTCCACTTTGACAATTATACCTAATTCTTCTTCCTTCCCCACATTTATTTTTCCTCTCCTTACATTCTTTTTTTAAATTTTATTGTAATTCTGTTATCATCTAAAAATGTGTAAGGCTTATGTGTATTTAAATTTTTTTCAGTGATCACCCAGACCTCTAGCCCCAGCTTGAGAAATGAAACATTAATAGTGCTGTAGAGACCCTTGTATATCTTCCCTCCAACCTACTCCCACAGTCCCCTCAGCACCCAGAGATAACCACTAGAATGAATTTTGTGTTACCAATCATTTCCTTGTGACTCATTATGGTTTTATCACCAAAGAATGTGTTCCTTAACTTAAATGAACCATTCTTTTTATAATCTTCCATAATTTAATTTCAGTTTGAGATTTACCAATATTTATGTGTAATGTAGATTTTTATAGTTTTTAGAAAAGTTTAACATTTTCAAACATACAGAGTTTTTCTGTATTTTGTTACTGATTTCTGACCTTATTGCACTGTAGTCAGAAAATGTGGCCTTTGAAACTTATGACCTAGAATTTAGTCAGTTCCAAGACTGTTATACATGTGCTTGAAGAGGATGTGTGTTCTGCAGTTTTTGGGTACAGTGTTCTCTTGGATGAGATTAAAAAGTGTTAAATGTGATACTACTTTGATATTTCTACTGGTTTGGATGTGGGTTTTTTGTTTGTTTGGTCTTTTTGATCTAGCAGTTACAGAGAGAGGTGTTTTAAAATCCATGAAGGTGACTTTTCAGTTACTCCTTTTGTATTCATTCCTATCTTTACCTTAAACATTTTGAGTCTTTGTTTCCTGGTAAATTGAATCTTTTGTTATATATTAACACTCCCTTATCTTCAGACTTTAAAACAAAAAAAATTATTTTATGTTAATACACCTGCACTGGCTTTATTTTTGCTTAGTATTTGCCTTGTATCTTTTTCTGTCCTTTTAGTTTCAGTGTTTTGTTGGAGTTTGTCTCTTGCATACAGCATATATCTGTATTACGTTTCTTAATCCAGTCTGCCACTCTTTCCTTTATAAAGAGTTTAATACATTTACGCTTATTGGCACTACTGATATAATTCAGTTTATTTCTACTATTTTATGTTTTTTAAAAATCTTGCCATTTTTGTTTCTTTTTCCCCTTTGCTTGCTTGCTTTTGAATTTCTAACTCCTCTGAGAACCTAAACACATTTTAATTCCAGTTGCACCTTCCAACTTACATACTGTTCATTGTGCAGTTTTAGTTCTGTCCTTTCCTCCTCTCCAAACAAATTAGACATCATTGTTTTAAATAATGTTTGTTTATACTTACCTGCATTTTTATAATTTTCTTTGTTCATCATTTCTTTTCAAATCTCAGATCTTCCACCCAGAATCATTCTCTTGCTGTCCAAAGTTTATCCTTTAAAATTCCCTTTAGAGTTTATTAACAAACTCATTTTTTGCTTGTATAAAATGTTTTTTTACCTTTGTTCTTGAAAGATTGTTTGCTGAGTATCAAATTCTAAGATGACTTTTTTTCTCTCAGCATATTAAGAAGATTATTCCACTGCCTTCTAACTTCCTGTATTGCTACTGAAAGTCAGCTATTAGTCTTAGTGCTGTCTAATACAATAATTTATAATGATGGAGATGTCTGTGTCACTGTTGTCAGGTACAGTATCCACTAGCCACATGTGGATTTTTGAAATGTGGCTTATGTGGCTGAGGAACTACATTTTTAACGTTTATTTGATTGAATTTTAATAACCACATATGATAAGGGGCTAATGTATTTGTACAGATCTGACTTGTAAATGTTCTTGTTTGTAAATGTTGGATGCATATCCTTTGTAAATGATTTCTTTTTGCTTTGACTGTTTTCAAGACTTTTTTTTTGCTTTTGTGTTCTGATGTTTTATAGGATGTTTTTAGGTGTAAATTTCTTTTTTATTTTTTATTCTTGAGATCCATCAGGTTCCAGGCTCTGAGGATTGGTGTCTTACAACAACTATGGAAAATTATTTTAAAATATTGCCTCTTTCTCATTTTGTTATCCATTTCTGGAATTCAGATAGACATTGTCATAAGTTCTCACTCTATTCTCCATGTCTTAATAGCTTTTTTGTTATTTCTGTTAGTTTCTCTGGGCTGCATTTTGGTTAATTTCTTTGACTTAACCTTCCAGTTCACTCATCTTATGTTCTGCTGTTTCCAGTCTGCTTTTAATTCATTCGTTGAAGTTTCATATTTTGTTTATTATATTTTCTACTGTTACAAATTTTGTTCAGTCCTATTCCAAAATTAATTGTTCTTTGCTTCTACTTTTAAGCTTCTCTTTTATTTACTTAATCATAGAAACAATAATCTTACAGTCTGTGATAACTTCAGTGTCTAAAGCCTGTGAGTATAATTCTGCTGTCTGTTTTTCTGCTAATTCTTGCTTTCAGTGCCTTGTTTCTTTACTAGGTTTTATTATGAGCTGCTCATTTTCCATGGAGCTCTTATATGTTGGGATTCTTTGGGGCCTGGGTTGAAGGTGGGTTATTAAAAGGGGAAACCTACATTTGCTTCTGTTGGTTGAATGGGGATACTCCAGAATCACTTTTAATTAAACTCTCTGATTGAAATTATTTTGATTGTGTAGGTAATGTGAATCTGGACTGCAAATACAGACCTGAGAGCTGGCTTATGCTTATGAATTCTCAAGGGACAGTTCTTTTTTTCTCTCTATCTGACACTGAGGTCATAACAAGTTAGTTTTCTTGCTGTCCCCTCTGACTTTTAGGTTTATTTCTCATTCTTGCTTTCATGAGGATGTGACTCTTTGCAGGAGCCTCCTTTGGACTACTTTGATTGGAAGCCCTTTAGGCCCTATCTCTTATGCTCTACATTCCATGCAGACATCTGGACAGAAAGTCAGGGTTCCCAGGGTTTAATAGAACCCTCAGCAGAAGTCATCTTGCTTATCTCCCAGAATTGCTACCTTCACTTCATTTTTGGGTTAATGGAATTCTACCTTTTATTCTAGTTCACAGTATATTTTAAAAGATATACTTTAATCAGAAGTTTAGATACTGCAGTTGGGAAGAATATATGAATTTTTAGTTTGTCACATTGCCAGATACAGAAATCATCCACATTGTTTTCCTAGTCTTTGGTAGATGAGTGGCTGGATAGCTACAAGCAAGACCAGGATGCAGGATTCCTGGAGCTCATTAACTTTTTCATCCGATCTTGTGGCTGTAAAGGTGAGGAAACTCCTACCTCTTTCTGATCTCCATCCTTTTGTTCCTATATTATAAAACTTTTCCTTCATTTAGATGAGTAGGACTAGGCATTTCCTAAATAAAAGGAGATAATAAAGCATAAGAAAAGTTTCACTTATTTAACTAGTATTGACTACATTGTTGATGTAGTAAGTAGGGAAGAAATCCAGTAAGGAGCTCCATTGGTTTGGAGGCAAGACCCTTTGGGGAAAAATAAATAATCATGCTAATGTGATGGTATGATGTTTACAAATTTGGAAATGGACCATCAGACTTTTAGCCTTCCTTTCTCTACATGAAATAATCTTTTATTTTCTTATTCCTTATTAGCCACTTAATCTCATATTTCTCTACTGAAGCTATCGACCCCCAGGTTCTCAGAGGCCATGACCTAATTTACTGGGGCAGATAGTCTTACAAGACTGCAGGTTGTATTCCATGAATCCAAAATCTGGTGTAATTTTCTTGCTTTCTTTTCTTGTTTGTTTGGATTTTTTAAACTGTAGTTTTCCGCTGCTTGATTCCCTTGGGTTTTCTTTTTTCTTTCTTTTTTTTCCTCTTGGGTTTTCTAGAGAGGTTGCTTTATAGCAGATACTCAGTTAGGTGGTAGCAGATTTATGACTAGGATGCAGGCCTTCTGATTCCCCACCTCAGCTCTTTTCAGTATATTCTCTAGCTCATCTTCAAATGTATATGTAAATGTTATTCTCCTTCTAAATACCTCATCTATTGCATTCCTCAGGCACTGTGACCCCTGAGATGTTCAAGAAGATGTCCAACTCAGAAATCATCCGGCACCTAACAGAACAGTTCAATGAGGTGGAAGAAGACAATCCAGGATCCTCTTGCCACTCTTATTTCAAAATACAAGGCCATTAACCCCCTTCTTTCTGATTCTGGGAAATAAAATAGCTTTTAGAAGGGGGAGTTTAATTTCTTGGGAGCAAAAGGGACCTATATGCATTATCTGAATATGCCTCTAGAGTTGAGAATGAGGTGTAACAGAGACACATTTTTCCTATACTGTTGGGTTTTGTCATCCAGTGCCTATGACTTCATAGACCTGGTAATAACTTTCCCATTCTTTTCATAAATCCTTCTGTAGGACTCAGGAGACTATCCTCTGACAGCTCCAGGCCCATCCTGGAAGAAGTTTCAGGGAAGCTTCTGTGAATTCGTGAAGACATTGGTCTATCAGTGCCAGTACAGCCTCCTCTATGATGGCTTCCCCATGGACAACCTTATCTCTTTGCTCACTGGCCTCTCAGACTCCCAGGTCCGTGCCTTCCGTCACACTAGCACCCTGGCTGGTAAGCAGTCATTTTGCTCTGTAAATGTTCTCCTGGGGGTTGGTAGAACTTTCCTTTGTTCTCCAGTCCTGGATCTTCTTTCCTACTAATATTTTAGCTCTTTACTTCAAGGTCGTGGTGCTTTTATTCTGAACCTCCATCCAGTTTCTCACTAGTGGGATTATAAAAAGGGGTGGATCACAGTGATAATTTCTAGCCTTAACACATTTCTCATAGCTCATCACTGGGAGCATGCTAAGGCTTGAAAGAAGCCCAAGAGAGTTAGGCAGAGAAAAAGTCTACTCCAGAGCAGTGAGTCTTAGGACTTAAGGGTCACCTTTTTCTAGCTTTTCTTTTTCACTGCCCTTTTTTACTTCTTTTTTGAACCTACACTCTCCCTCTGACAAGTAATGATTTCCTTATTTTTACTGACTCAAAGCCATGAAGCTAATGACCTCCCTGGTAAGAGTTGCCCTCCAACTGAGTCTGCACAAAGACAACAATCAGCGTCAGTATGAGGCTGAACGCAACAAGGGCCCGGGACAGAGAGCACCTGAGCGACTGGAGAGCCTTCTGGAGAAACGCAAAGAGGTGAGAGGTATTCCCTGCCTCTCCCCACCTCTCTCCTAGCTTCCATCCACTGCTGCTGCAGCCTCTCGTCAGTCTCAGGCCCTTCTCTACTAAGCACAGGCAGCCTTTCAGATCGTGAATGGTGGAGTTTGGCAATAGTTTAATAGACCCATCCTGGCAGAGGTCATTACATGCCCGTCTTGTTTCTTGGATGTGGACTCAGTAAATTATTTCTAGCTTTGAGTACATTTTAGAGTTCTCTATAATCTGCTTTTGCTCAGTTTCCATTGTCTACATTCATTATCACAAATGTTTAAGTGTTGTGCCTGCATCTCAGGCAGGGAGTTAAGTGTTGGCTTTCTTGTCAAGTGTGGAGTATGCAGGTTGCCACAGGGGTGCTGAAGGCCAGCCACTAGTGAGGGAGGCCAAGTTTTTGGAATGGCAGGAACATGGGCCTTCAGTCACTCCTGGGTTTAAACTCTATTCCACTTAACTCCTAGCTCCGTGGCCTTATGTAACCTCTCAGCTTCAGTTTCCCTTCCTTTAAAAAGGGCACAATTTGTCTTTTTATGAACATTAAATGAGATGATGAGTAAATTGCCTAACCAGGCACCATAATAGGTATTTGCTTTGTTTCCCTTTAAACTTGTAAACCCCTGAGGATGTAAACCCCAACAAAATCTCTTACACTCATTACATCTTCAAACAGCTGTGTCTGTCATGAGACCAACATTGATTGCCCCCCATTCCCTCTTAGTATCTGAGACCTGCCCCACTGTGAGGTTGGCAGGACTCACCATGTCTGACTGTTGTCCCAGCTCTCACCAAAGCTCTTTTCCGTGCTAAATCACTAGAGAAGGAAATGTTCTCCTGCCCTGATTCTCTTTCGCTATGTTCACCATCAGTGTGATCTTAAACCTTATGGCATTAGGTCTGTCTCAAATCTTATATACACTAGCGTTAATCTCTTATGGACTTCTTTGGGCTCTTACTTCATCAGTTATTTCACTTTTTGTCTTTAGTCTCTCCCTCCCCACTCTGTTCTTCTCTCCACTTATAAATGTATATAATGTCTTGAATCTTTCTTGAAAATTTTTTTTATTTTTGTTGCAGTGTAGTCAGTTTACAATGTTGTGCTTTCCTTCACTTCTCCTCTATGAGCTACTCCATTTCTATCCTTTTTGGTATTTCCTTACTTCCTTAATATCCATCTGAATCCTTTTTGCTGCCTAGCTTCTATCCCCATTTTTTCTTTCAAATTATTCTCTCCAAACCAGTGACTTAATGCCTACAGAGAATGGCCTTTCCTCAAGCTCCCTTTTCCAGACTTCTGTAGAATTTGGTACTGCTGATCTGCCTTTCCTCCTTCTTCTCTCTCCTTCGTTTTCTTTTAAATATGAAAATTTTCAAACATTCAGAAAAATACACCGGTGGAATGAACACCACATACACATTATCTAGGTTTAACAACTAGTATTCACTACATTTGCTTCATCTATTTTTTTCTATTTTGTAGTAAATTATGGGCATACTGTATTTCAATCTAAAGACTTAAGTATGTCCTCTAAAAAAAAATGTTCCTACATAATCCCAATACCGTTTTCATATACAAAAGTACTAACAGTGATTCCCTAATATTTTCTAATCCCAATTCATATTAAAAAATTTCCATTTGTCCCCCAAATGCCTTTTATATTTGATTAGTTCCAACCAGGATTTAATTAAGGATTGTGTATTACATTTGGTTGTGTGTTTCTTAAGTCTCTGTCAATCTTATACAGAATCTCTGCTCTGCCCCATTTTCTACCAATATATTGATTTATTGAAGAGCTTGGGTCAGTTGTCTTTATGTTCACTTAAAATTCCTTGTAGTTGTAATTCTGCTTCCCTGGTATCAGTTATTCTAGGGCTTCTCAATAGTGGTACTAGGGGCCTCTCCTGGATGTCCACCAGCCGGTGGCAGTGCCTCCCCAGGTCGTGATGACCAAAAATGTCCTCAGATATTGCTGAACATCCCCGGGGTGGGGCGGGGCTCCAGTTGAGAACCGTTGATCTAATCTCTTCCTTCTCTTTTTTTTTTCCCCACTTCTTTTGTCAAACAAACTGCACTTATTAAAAATCTATTTTCCCAATTATTATTAGTCAAGAACATACATAACTACCAGCTAGGATATCTGAACAGCCAAAAATAGAATAACCAGACACAGGGGATTTTTTTTTCCAAATAGAAAGAAATCTCTGAGGCACTAGTTGACTATGTAGTTTCTTCCAGAATTAGAAAGTTTAAAAGGGAACATAGGATACCAGGTGTTTAGACTGTGTCCTACGATAAATAGGTAGAACTCATACTTTTTTATATTTTTGTGGCTTTATATTACTGGGGGACGAGAGAGTGACCTGCTTCTCCCTGTCTTCCAGCTCCAGGAGCATCAAGAAGAGATTGAGGGAATGATGAACGCCCTCTTCAGGGGCGTCTTCGTGCATCGCTACAGGTGAGTTACTGGGCTGCTCTCACTCACGCCGCTGGTCTGTGCTTATGGAGTCTATAGAAGTGACAAGGTCCCCTCCTAACCCTGAGTTCCCTGGTCAGTCCCACGGCTAATGCAGCTGGAGCAAAAACTCTAACAACAAATGTTCCAAATTAGGTTTAATTTATCCCCACCTACAAAGGATTATGTAAACTCTACTGGGAGAGAAGATAAGAAGATAAGGCATTGCTGAGTATTCTTCTGCTCCAACTTTGCCCAAGATGCCCCCTCCCCCATCTTCCTGGGGCTTGATCCTTTCAGAGAACAGAGATCCAAAAGGGAGTGCTTTTCTGCGGATGAGCAGCTTCGCAAGCCTTTTCCTAGCCCAGTTCACTATGCCTTTCACTGTGCTAAGGGCAGGGGGGTTTTTTACTTTGTAAAGAACTGGTAGAATTAAGTTAAGGAGCATCAGTATTTGTTTCTCACTCTTACCTAGATTTCAACCTCTGCCTTTCCAGAACACTTCAGCTGATTTACTCTTTTCTTGTAATGGAGTTAAAACACACACGCAGATATATTGTACAACACAGGGTGTATAGCCAATATTTTATAATGGTTATAAATGAAATATATCATTTAAAAATTGTGAATCGCTTAGTACACCTGAAACTTACATACTATTGTACATCAACTAGACCTCAGTTGAACACACATGCAGTTTGGCCAACAATTAATTAAATTCCAAAATCAGTTTTTAAAAGGGGCATGGAGAAAAAGTTCAACTACTTTACGAGTTGGTTACAGAAAGAAAGCGTTCACTTTTTTATATACTGTATTCACATTGGGAGGAGGAAGTGAAAGGCATAAACCTGGTGTTTAAGTCAAGAATATAGATTCTCTTGTGACAAGAAGATACCTGCTAGAATGGAAAGTGAGCTTAGAGAGAAGGCAATAAGGTTCCATTTCTCTCTCTGTGCCAGGGATATCCTTCCTGAGATCCGTGCTATCTGCATTGAGGAGATTGGGTCGTGGATGCAGAGCTACAGCACCTCTTTCCTCACTGACAGCTATTTAAAATATATTGGCTGGACCCTCCATGACAAGGTGAGAGTTGAGTCAGTCTCCTTCCCCTATTCCCCCATTCTCTCCCCTGCCCTAGGATGCTTCAGCTTTTCCTGGTCCTTCCACTTAGGTGTTTCGCTAGTGATCAGTGATGAACTCATCAAGACACTGAAACCTGAAAATCCCCCAGTATTGGGGAAGGTAGGATAAGTTAGAGAGACAGACATATCTATGAGATTAAAGGCCTCAAAACCACAGTCTAGGGGAGAAAGACTTTTTCTGTGAAAAGGCAAGAAAGTTATTGATGGAGTGGTAATACAAGTGCTAGGGTAGTAGCCAAAGGACCCTTTTCGTTGTGATTGCTAAATTCTGCTGTGATCCTTTTGGGTTTTAGGTGAGAAGACAATTGTTCATAGTCTCTGAGGCATCTCAGGGTCCTCAGTATAGAGGACAGCCAGGCCCGGAGTGAGTGATCTGACAGGGGAGTGTGGAGGTCCAGTCAGGGTGTGGAGGAGGAGTCGGTCATATTTCCATTCCATCCACAGCATCGAGAAGTCCGCCTGAAGTGCTTGAAGGCTTTAAAAGGGCTGTATGGCAACAGAGACTTGACCAGCCGCCTGGAGCTCTTTACCAGCCGCTTTAAGGTAAAATCAAGCAGTGCTCTTGGGCTTGGCTCTTTTTGTGGTTCCCATTTCCCCACTTCATTTTTCCATTTCTCTTGCTTTTATATATCCATAGCTATCCCAGTATCTGCTTCTACACCTCTCTTTAGGAATCTCAAATTCTAAGAGGACATGGGGCTTTGGAACGGATACAATGAGATATCAAGTGATGTTCTCTTTCCTCCAGGACCGGATGGTTTCCATGGTCATGGACCGAGAGTACGACGTGGCAGTGGAGGCTGTCGGGTTACTGATACTTATCCTTAAGTAAGTCCTGGGAGTGGAGAGGCAAGCATCTCAGACTTAACCTTTCCAGCACCAGACAGGCCCTTCCAGAGTCCTGTCCCTCCACTGATTGTAGGCTGACTCTTGTTTATGTACAGATTGAAAGACAGAGGTGGTTCCTGAGTTGCCAGATCTCCGGGGGGGGGGGAGTTTCCTATCTTCTCTAACTCTCCATATCCCTCTGTCTCCCACTCTTCCAACTGAAAGTTCTCTGTGAGTTAATCTTTGTTCGTTTTGCCTTTTTGCTTCTAGCCTTAGTTGTGCTAGAGGACAGCATCCATGTCCACCTGCTTTTCTCCTGGCAGGAACATGGAAGGGGTGCTGACAGACGCAGACTGTGAGAGCATCTACCCTGTTGTGTATGCCTCTAACAGAGCCCTGGCCTCTGCTGCAGGGGAGTTTCTGTATTGGAAGTGAGTGAGGCTCCTTTCATTCGTTCCTCTGACACTGTCCTTCGTTGTTCTCTCTTCATCATCTGCTGTTGCTCATCTTCTAAGGACCCCACATACCTATTAAAGTCTCTCTTGGTGTCTCCTTTCCCTTCTCAACTCCTTGGGGCTTTCCTTAGCTCTGGGCCTCTTTTTCCTTTCATTCTCTCCTTGGACTGTTTCTACCCTCCATGGTAACTACCGCTCTCCTTATTTCCTCCTGTGCCGTGCCCTTTCCCCGTGTCCCTTCTACCAGGCTCTTCTACCCTGCGTGTGACGCAAGAGTAGCGGGTGGGAGAGAGCGCCGCCGAAGTCCCCACACCCAGAGGACTTTCTTCCACCTCCTGCTGTCCTTTTTCTTGGAGAGTGAGGTGACGTATGGAGAGGAGCTCTTTGGCTGTTGTGCATAAGACCTGCAGGTAGAGAAGGATGGGGGCTGGCCCTGCAGGAAAGAGAGAAATGGTTTGTTAGTAGCCACTCCCTAGAGTTTTAAAATGTGGCTTCAGTAACTTAACGTCTGCCTGCTTCCACAGCTCCATGACCATGCTGCGTACTTAGTAGACAGCCTGTGGGACTGTGCAGGGCCTCAGCTGAAGGACTGGGAGAGTCTGACAAGCCTGCTGCTGGAGAAGGACCAGAGTGTGTGCCACCTGGTAGCTAGGGGAGGGGACCTCTCAACCTCCTAGTAGGAAACCAGGAGGGGTTTCTATCCTGACTTGTGAAAGGCATAGGTGTCATGAGCAGTAGGGGTGGGGAGGGGGGAGAACTTGGAGATGCAAGGTGGCTAATCTGTGATTCTCTGTTTTTCACCTTCCTGCCACCCCAGGCCTGGGCGATGTGCAGGAGAGCACGCTGATAGAAATCCTTGTGTCCAGTGTCCGGCAGGCTTCAGAGGGTCACCCGCCTGTGGGGCGGGTCACAGGGAGGAAGGTATGGCGTGAGGGGTGGGGTGGGTTGGTTAGCAGTATTAAATCCAGACAGATATTGTCCGTCCTTATCCTCAAGTCATAGGCTAGGGTGCTCCTTCCTCTGCCTCTCAATTCCATTTCCGGAAAAAAGAAATCTCAAGGGAGCTGCTGAATTCTTTTCCTCCCCAGGAAGATAAGATTGTTGGGCAGAGGAATACACGTACATACTCTCCGGGCCCAGTATTTCCCACACTTCCCCCCCCCACCAAATGACTGTAATTCCAGGGCTTAACCTCCAAAGAACGTAAGATCCAAGCTGATGACAAGGTGAAGCTGACTGAACACCTTATCCCCCTGCTCCCCCAGCTCCTGGCCAAGGTAGAGCCGCCCCACCGCTCAACATGTGGGAGTGAGTGGGTGGAAGGAAGTAGCTTCTGAATGAGCAGTTTGTCAGGTCATAAGTTGGCCTCCCTCTCCATCCCCACAGTTCTCAGCTGATGCAGAGAAGGCTGCTCCCCTGCTGCAGCTTCTCAGCTACTTTGACCTCAGCATCTACTGCACCAGGCGCTTGGAGAAGGTGAGGAGGGAGGAAGATGCCTGCCCTATACCTTGATTCCCTCCTAGGGCCAAAGGTTCTACTGCCAGTATCTGGGTTTTCTCGAGAAAAATCAGTAAGCCTTCCCTGGGCATGTTATCCTTGAAGTTTAGTACTTCAAACCCTATTTCTTTCCTCCCTCTGCTCTAGTCCCCTCAGGAAGTGTTGTCTTCCCCAACCCCTCCTCCCAACACTGTCTTCTCCCACCTTTTTCTCTCTCAGCACCTGGATCTCCTCCTGCAGCAGCTGCAGGAGGTGGTGGTGAAGCACGCAGAGCCAGCGGTGCTGCAGGCCAGCGCCCACGCCCTCTATCTGCTCTGTAAGCCCGAGTTCACGTTCTTCAGCCGGGTGGACTTTGCCCGCAGCCAACTGGTGGATCTGCTGACTGACCGCTTCCAGCAGGAACTTGAAGAGCTGCTGCAGGTAGGAAGTGGGGCTGAATGACAGGACATCCCAGGCTCGTGTGGGAGAGCCCACAAGACAGGGACGTGGCCCTGTGAGTTCTTAGGAAATTCCATCATGGACCTCCTTTCTTCCTCAGTCATCCTTCCTAGATGAGGATGAAGTGTATAATCTGGCAGCCACTCTGAAGCGCCTCTCTGCCTTCTACAAGTGAGCCACCCCTTCCTGATCCCTGTTCTGTTTCTGCCAGTGTCTGTGGGGTTCATTCCTCTCGTTCTGTAACATTTCCCTCTCCCCTTCCCCCCCACCACCAAGTGCCCATGACCTAACCCGCTGGGAGCTCTATGAGCCATGCTACCGACTCCTCCGGAAGGCTGTGGACACGGGAGAGGTTCCTCACCAGGCAAGTATAGACAAGTCGGAGATGTGGAGGCAGGAGAGGAGTTTGAGGGCCCTGTATCCTAGGTGACTGACCCTTGCAAGTGGTTCCAGTCCCAGGGATGTGGAGTGGACATGAGAGAAAGAGCTCATGTGTGTCGTTCCTTCCATCCCACTCTTGGAAAGTAAACGTACTTACTGCCCAGCACCTGAAAATAGCAATTCTCTTTTGTTTCCTGGGAGTCAAGGATAATATTGAGGGATTCTAGGAGACTTTAAATAAATTAGGGAGAGGAGGCATTCCTACCCAGGATAGAATGCTCTGAAGATTGTCTAGAATCAGTTCTTTTCTACCAGAAAAGGAATTGGGTCTCTCCTAATCTCATTTTCTCTCTTCTTGTCTGCTTTTGTCTTTCTTCCCTGCTTTGTGTGTATCTGCCTGTCTTTTTCTCTCCTCCACTGGTCCCCACCTCATTGTTACAACAGGTGACCCTGCCAGCCTTGACTCTTGTGTATTTTTCCATTCTCTGGATGCTAAACTGCATTTCCGAATCAGATGCTTCTCAGGTGAGTATGGGTCTGAGTATGGGGAACAGGAATGGCGGAGCCCATGTCTCCCTTCATTCCTCTCCCTGAAGCCGCTGTCTCCACAGAAGCAGCTGTTGAGTTTGAAGGGCAGGATGGTGGCCTTCTGCGAACTCTGCCAGAGCTGCCTCTCAGATGTGGAGCCTGAGATCCAGGAGCAGGTGAGCATTTACTCAAGTTGGGACCAAGGAAGCAAGTCTCCCCTGTGGTCTGAGTAAACCCTGTTCTAAGAGGGAATTAGCTGTGTACTTTCTATCATAGTCAACATTCTGACTTTTTAAGCATTCTTTTTTTTCCCACTAGGCTTTTGTCTTGTTAAGTGATCTGCTTCTCATCTTCAGCCCTCAGATGGTTGTAGGGGGACGAGATTTCCTCAGACCCCTTGTCTTTTTTCCTGAAGCCACTCTCCAGTCTGAGCTAGCCAGCTTTCTCATGGACCATGTCTTCATTCAGCCTGGAGAACTGGGCAGTGGTACAGGGACTCTTCTCTTGGGGTTCAGGAAGGGTTTGGGGCGAGGGTTTGCCTCAGGCCTGTGGGGTGGGAGGCCCAAACACATCTGTGATTCTGATGCTTCCATTCTGCGCTTGATGTGAGCCAGGTCATTCCCAGGAGGACCGTTTACAGATAGAGCAGCTGCACCAGCGGCGCCGCCTTCTGGCTGGGTTCTGCAAGCTGCTGGTCTATGGGGTGCTGGAGATGGATGCGGCCTCAGATGTTTTCAAACACTACAACAAGGTACACCAAGGCGCCAGGCTGAGCACGATCACGGCTGCAGACGCTGTAGCACTACAGAAAAGAGTCTGGGGAAAACGATGGTTTTAGGCTTAAAGAAGAAGTTGGGGGGAAGGACAATAGGGGTTTAGAATAAAGGGACAAAGAAAAGAGACTTAGTAGTAAATAATTATGGAGAAAAAGCTGTTAGGAGGAAGAAACTCATTGGAGGGGAAGAATCATACTCTTGTCTAGAAATATTTTTTTTTCTTTTCTCTGTGAACTTAGTCTATTGAATGGGGTAATGTAAGAAGGAAAAAAGGATGGAAGGGGGATCAATCCTTACAAGTTACCTAGATATGTACCTTGGTTTCCTCAACCCACCATTGTGCTGATTTTTGTTTATCAAGTACCTGCTACCCCAGGCACTAAGGACACCTCAGTGAACAAAAGAGACAGCAGCTCCTGCCTCCTGGAGCTTCTGTTCTAGTGGGAGAGACAGAGCGCAGGCCTCAGCGCCGCGTGGCCGTGGGCGCTGGCAGGCTTGCTACCGTTCTTCTCCAAGAAATGGGCTCAGGGCAGAGTTTCTTCCCCTATTTATTTGCCTAAGCTCCAGTGTCTTTTGGGCTTTGTGCCTACTGGCTAGAGTTGCGGTCTGCTGTGGGTTGTTTTATGCTCAGATTCACGTTTTGCTACCTAAGGCCCTTTTGGGAGAAGACACAATTAGGGCTGTGAGAAAGAAACAAAACAGAAACCGTCTCTTCCTTTGGTCAGACATGGTCTTCTCCACTTTCTCTCTGTCAGTTCTACAGTGACTACGGCGACATTATCAAGGAAACATTGACTAGAGCGAGGCAGATGGACCGCAGCCACTGCTCCCGGGTCCTGCTGCTGAGCCTCCAGCAGGTACTCCCTTGGGCCTGGCGGGCCTCCGGCCTGCGGGCCCCTCTGCAGCCCAGACCCTGTGCCCGACCCCCAGCCCTTTGGAGCAGGAGATCCTTCCAAGCAGGAACTTTCTCATTTACTTTGACTCTTACTCTAGATGACAGTCTCCATAACAAGTAGACTGTGGAAAGTACTTTTTACGTGACCTGGCAGTTTCCACCCGCACCCCATGTCAGTCAGGACATGGGAGCACCAATGATAAAGTGATAGGGAATCTCTGACCTTCTCCCAGTCTGTTCTTTCTCAGCCCCTTCGGTTACTCCAGACATCTTTATTTGTTACAGAGCAGAGTGAAGTCTCTGCTGCAGGGGGTCAGGAGTAGGGTCAGAGTGTCCTAGGAGTAAGCAAGAGCGAAAATAGCAGGTGGCGTCCCAAGCCCTTCAGAATCTGGGCAGAGGAGGGGATGCTGTGCTTCCCTATTTCTCCCTTGTCCCTCCCTTTCCCGAATGTGTCATGTCTCCTGGACACAGCTGTACACAGAACTGCTGCAGGAACAGGGGCCCCAGGGCCTAAATGAGCTTCCAGCCTTCAGCGAGATGAGGGACCTGGCCAGGAGGTTCGCCTTGAGCTTTGGACCCCAGCAGCTGCAGAACCGTGACCTTGTGGTCGTGCTACACAAGTAAGGAAGTATTGGTTGGAGGGCAGCATACTGGAATCTCCCTAAGAGGGCTGAGTCAGGCTGTGTACAGGGAGAGCTGGAGTGAGGTCTTGGAAGGAGGATAAGCATGTTGAGGAGCTGCAGTGGAGTTGGTGAACAGGTATCCTCTGGAGGGGCAGACTGGGCCTGAGGGAGGAAGCACTTGGACAGGATGCCTCAGCCCTGGGACAGAAGTGGAAAGGGACTATCTTCCTAAAATAATTCTGTTCAACCAAGGGAAGGCATCAAGTTCTCCTTGTCCGAGCTTCCTCCTGCTGGCTTCTCCGGTCAGCCCCCAAATCTAGCATTCCTGGAGCTTCTTTCAGAGTTCTCCCCCCGACTTCTCCATCAAGACAAGCAGTTGCTGTAAGTTAGGGGTGGGTGGATAAAGATGTGGGTTAGGGAAGAAAGGTGTGATAAGGGCCTGTCACCATTTCAGCCTCTCCATCCCACTTCTTCCTTAGACTGTCCTACCTGGAGAAGTGTCTGCAGCGTGTCTCCCCAGATTCCAGCTGTACCTGGGGTCCAGTCACCACCTACCGCCACTCCCTCAGCCCTGTAGAGAACACGGCAGAGGCCAGCCCTCAGGGCTACCCCCGCTCCAAGAAGAGGCGCATCGAAGGTAAAGTGCTGTAGATGTGGGTATCAGGGTGCTCAATGCTACTTCCCTGATTGGCACTACCTAGATAAGCAGCATATGGTCTTTTGCCTCCTTCAGACTCTTATTTTTGGTCAAATAAATATTTTATTGAGCACCTACTATCATTAAGGGTACTCATTTTCTTCCAGGTTTATCTAGCCAACTAACAACAGCAAACCTCTGAAAAATTAAATAGAAACTAATGATAAAACCAAAGATTGAACTAAGAAATCTGTACATTTAGGATGTCCCTCGTTAACATTTTGCATTCTGTTATTTTCCAAACTTCAAAGATTTTTTGCACAACCTTCATGATTTTTTAGCCTTCAGATCATTGCCTGTCCTGTAATTTACCTAAGTTTTTTTCTTAAACGAATTTTCTTTTTTTTATATACTCTCACCTTAAATAATAATAGCCTAGAAATCACAAGTTTGGTGCATTAGTTCGTGTTTTCTAGTGCACGAAATAAATATTAGTGGTCATTTCTCCTCCCCGTTCCCCCAGCCTAGGCAGTACTACTGATCCACTTCCTGTCTCTGCAGATGCCTGTTCTAGATGTTTCATATAACTGGAATCATACAGTATGTGGCCTTGTGTGTCTTCTTTTACTTAGCAGGTTTTCAGGGTTCATCCATGCTTAGCATTTATCAGTACCTCATAAATTTCTACCGCCAAATAATATTCCATTGTATGGATATGCCATGTTTTATGTATCCATTCATCAGTTGATGGACATTTGGGTGGTTTCTGCTTTTAGACTACTGTGCATAATGCTGCTGTGAACATTGATGTATAAGTTTTTACGTGGACGTAGGTTTTCACTTTCTTTGAGATATACCTAGGAGTAAGACTGCTGGATCAGATGATAACTCTGTAACTTTATGAGGAGCTGCCAAACTGTTTTCCAAAGTGCCTGCATCACTGTGCAGTCCCAGCAGCAATGTGTAAGGTTATAGGGTTCCTCATACTTGGTGGTGGTGCACGTCCTTCCACGTGCTTGTTGCCTGTTTGTATATCTTCCTCAGAGAAATGTCTGTTCAGATCCTTTGCTCATTTAAAAATTGAGTTTTTTTAATTATTGAGTTGTGAGACTTTTTTTCTGTATTCTAGATGCAAGTCCTTTATCAGATATGCAGAAATTTTCTCCCATTCTGTGGGTTATCTTTTTATTTTCTTGATGGTGTCCTTTGAAACACAGAAGTTCTTAATTTTGATGAAATACAACTTAATCTATTTTGTGGTGGTGGTTTGTGCTTTTGATGTCATATCTTAAGAAACCATTGCCTAATCCAAGGTCATAAAGGTTTATTCCTATGTTTTCTTCCAAGAGTTTTTTAGTTTTAACTATTCCACTTAGGTCTGTGATCCATTTTGAGTTAATTTTGTATGTAGTGTGAGGTAGGTTGCAACTTCCTTTTAATGCCTTCTGTATACTATCTAAAATTACTCCTTATACTACCAGTAAACAAATAAATACTTGTTTATTAAGGACCTATTTTATGCAAGTTACTGTGTTAGGGGTTCTGTGGCCATGAAGGATACTTAAGCAGCTTACCATATAATAGGAAAGAAAGAAAATAGATTTCTAGAAAATGTGAATTATAAAGTCACCAACATGTGGTAACTTCTTGAGGATTTGAGAGGATTTGACAGGTGAATGCCATAGAATTCAGGGAAGGAAAGTATCATTTTTAAGTTTAGTTGATATATGAAAGCTTTATCAAGAAGATGGAATTTAAGCTGGAGCTTGAAAAATGGGTAAGATTTATGTAAGCTGAATAGAGGAAGAATGAGTATCACAGGCTAGCAGAATAGCCAAGAAAAACATAGAAGGATGGTAAGTGTTCGCCAAAGCACATAGATACATAGATTGATTTGCCTAAAACAGAGGGTTTGTAAAGGTAGGATAAAGCTGCCGAGCTAGGTCCCATCATTCATTCAGCAGATACTTATTGAGCACCTTGTGCTTAACTGTGCTGGGAATACAGCAGTGAACTTTCTTTAGAAGAATGTCAGATAGTGACATGTGCTGCAGTGGAGAAGCATGGGAGAGAATGATAACGTGTTGGTGAGGTGTGGGGATTGCAGGCTTATGAAGAGTGATCAGGGAGAGCCTTGCAGAGGACATGAACATAAGAGGAAAACTGAAGGAAGTGGGGGCGCCTGGTGTACATCAGAGTAACAGACGGGAGAGCGCGGCCAGTCATAGTAGAGACGTGTTTGGTATGTTCAAGGAACAGCAAAGAAGGCCAGTATTGCTGAGTGGAGATTGTGTAGGATATGAGACCAGGGAGGTTGTAGGAGTCCAGAGCATGTCAGGCAGAATGAAGAGTCTGGCTTTTACTCAGAGTAAAATGGGTAAACATTGGGGGATTTGAGCAGAGGAGTGACAGGATCTGCCTTATATTTTAAGGGGATTTTTCTGGCTGCTGTGTTGATAACTGACTGTAGGAGGGGCAGGGGTTGAAGCCAAGGGACTGGTGAGGAGGCTGCTGTAGGGGCCCAGACAAGAGATGAGAGTGAGTGAACCAGTGAGCAGCAGAGATGATAAGTGGCCAGTGGTGTGTTTCCAAGATGTCACTCTAATGGGACCTCCTGGCAAAGCGGATGTAAGACAGAGAGGATTTGAGGATGACTCTCAGGATTTTGGCCTAACAGTTGGAAGGATGGAGTTGATAGCAACCAAGATGGGAAGGCTGTGTGTGGCAGAGAGAAGATCAGGGCTCTGGCATTACCCATGTTACTACAGGTGGTGTTGGATGGACAGCTGGGGAGGAACCTGGAGTTCAGGGGGAGGGAGAAGCTTGAGATACATGTGGGAGTTGGTATTTCAAGCTGTGGACCTGAGTGGCTGAGGACACCAGTGCGGATGGAGACAAGGAGGGGTCCCAGGGCTGAACCCCTGGACGTTACATGAGTAACAATAGGCTGCAGAGATTAGAAGGAGCCACGTGGGGGCCCAGGCTTTCTTTTGTGTGGACACAGGCTCCGGGTGTGGCCCCTCCCAGTTTTCTCAGCCCTCTGCTTTTAAGCCAGTAGCAGCTCGCTTGCTGGTTACTGATGTCACGGCCATGGGAAGGGAGGCTAATGGGGGTGTGAATATATGGCTGACAAATACCGATACGTTTAGAATCATATCACCTGGGTCTTCTAAGGCATTTGGGGGCTCTTTCTCCCCCTCTGCCTTCTTAGATCTCTGCTGGAGAGTTACTTATCATTTTGGGCCCCAGATCTTCCACTTATCCTTCATATTAGAACTATGCTGACATTGCAATTCTGGCTTTTAGAACGTTCTCTCTCCCATTTTTCTGTTTCTCTCTAGCTCTCATGCTTCCTCCCTAGTTTCACGTCCCAAAACTCTTGCTGTTTTAAGGTTTTTCTCACTGTAGAAATCTTGAATGAATAGGATGTCACTTGTCTTCATTGATTAACCAAGACCTCAGTCTTAGGGAATTTAATCTGCTCTCACATTCATGTTTGTATGTTACTGTTTATCTGTGGAATGTATATTTATATCTCTTTCCATCTTGTTTTCTAAGCTGTGTAGTGAGTTTTTCTTGGACAAGTCATAGATACGATTCAGTAAGCCTTACTTTTTAGTATGTAGGGCAGTGCTCATGTTTTAGTGATAATGTACTGAGCCATCTAGATTTTCTATTCTCTTCTTCATTAATGCTTCCTTATCAAATCCTGAGCAGGTCTTGAAAAACTAAAAGCATCTGTGGGAGTACCTGGTCTACAGTTAATATGTGTCTCTGCTGCCTTGCAGGCCCCTCCAGGCAGCACAGAGAGGACATCTCTCCATCCCAGGAGGAAAGCCTACGGCTGAACAGTATCCCACCCACACCCACCCTCACCTCGACAGCTGTGAAGAGTAGGCAGCCCCTGGTGGAGCTGGAAGAGATGGAAGAAGAAGGTGGCTCAGAATTGGCGTTTACCCAAGGGTGCGGCCCCAGGAGAGTCCAGCTGTGTCTTACCATTTCTGTTGTGTAGTTCCCTCCCATAGCACCCCCTCATTTTGGGGTTCTTCTCTGGTCCTCTTCCCTTTTTTTAGCTTTATGTTTTCTCTTTTTCCATACTAAGCTTTTTGCTGGGTTTAATGCTGGCCACTCTACCTCCTCTTTTTACCCTTTACTTTTACCTCCATCACTGATCCTGCTTCATTCCCAACAGCCAGCCCCGTTTAGGCATCCGGAGGTCAAGGTCCTCAAGTCCACAGCATTTCCAGACTCCAGTCAACGCGTTAGGTCCTGGTCTGGGCAACCGGCTGACCCGGTGAGCTTTTCTCATCATCTTCTATCTTCACTTCTGAGCTGTCACCTACAGTGAGGGGATTCCCCTCTTATCCAGGGTTTCTGTGCTGCTGCTCTTTGGACTAGGTGTAACCACAGAACACTTCCTTCCAGTGTAGTGTGGAATCCTAGTATGTGAAACTGATTTAAGTGGAGCTGCTGTGATTGAAGCAGGGGTGGAAACCAGGACCCCTGCTCCCCCGGGGTGCCTCTGAGACACCCTCAGGGTCCTTGAAAACCTCTATACTCTTTGCCACTGCTTCTAGACTCAGCCTGATGGAGGAGGACGAAGAAGAGCTAGAAATTCAGGATGAGTCAAGTGAAGAGTGGCAAGGCACAGGCAAGGTGAGCGGACCCATTCCCTTGCCTTCTCCCTCTAGACCTAGAAGCAGATGTGAGGAGAGAAATAAGAGTGATTCTCCTCTGTCAGTCCTGATGGTCCACTGTCCCTGGAAGTTGCCCAGGGCGTTTTGAAAGAATCACTGAGTAACACACGCACGCACACAGGCACACCCCACCTTCCCTCCTCTCTCCTCAGAAGGCAGCCCTAGTCCCTGTTCCTCCATTCACTCCCTTTTCTACCCTGGGCTGCCTGCTTCCCGGGAGGAAGTGGGAAAAGCATGGGAGGTGACTGCGGCGACCTGAGCGCCCTCAGCTCCACCACTTGTCAGGTTAGCTCCTTCACCCGCTCAGCCTCCTCCTCTTCAAAATGGACCTTTTCCAGGAAACACACAGTGAAGGCACCTTATAAACAGAAAAGGGTTGTATGTCTGCTGCTTTTCTCCTTTCTCTGCTCTGTGAGGAGGGAGGGAGGACATAGGGGAGTGAACGTCTTGTGCTCCAGGGAAAACCAGACAGCAACATGTTCAATCCAGAGACTGGACAGCAAGGCCTCTATTAAAGTGATCTTTCCTAAAGTCCTCTCAGGAAAAATCCCATCCTCTGCTTCCAAAATGGAATGAATTTAAGGGTCTCAGTTAGCAGGCCAGGAGAGGAGGCGCTTCTCTGACAAGGCCTGATGCTGCTGCCTACCCTGACTCTGCTCCTCTTCTCCACCTGGCTGCTTCCAAGACCTTCCGCAACCCTTGAGCTTGTCCCATGAGACTTGAAAGGGACCTTTGTTATTGTTTGTATGTGATGGGAGTGGGGAGGGACCTTTCTGAGTCTTGACCCCATTCTCTTGCAGTCTTCCCCCAGCGAGCACGGGCTGGACCTCTTAGATTCTACAGAGCTGAACATTGAGGTGAGCATCCCCAAAACAGACTGTGGAAGGCAGGTTAAGAGAAGTCGTGCACCCTCGGGAGATGCTGGCAGGTAACCTGTGTGCCTGTCAAACAGATGGAAAGAAAGGCCATGGCCCCTGCCCTTGGCCTGCCGTCTCAGCCACCTCAGGCCTTTCAGAGTAGCAGGCAGGGTAGGGGTGGGGGTGCAGGAGAATGAGCATTGTCATCTGGAGGACCATACAGTCATCTCTTTGTCCTTTGGTCTGGTCTTACATCTGTTTTCATGTTTCTCATTACAGGATTTCTGACATGGCCCTGTGTCCCTCCCCACCTCCACGACATGAGCACCTGGAAAAGGCCAACAGGAGATAGAGTAAAAGGAATCATTATTTCCCCACCCTTGGTCTCTGAAGGGAAGGAGAGGTGGGCTTTGCCTTTTTAAGCTAACCTTTCTTGGAAGATGTTGAGATAGAGAAGCCATAAACTTCCTGTCCTTCGGATGCACTGTGGGTCTGTTCCCCTGTTTGAGCAGAGTGCCTATTTTCTGCTGTTTGGAGGGGTGGGGACTTCACTTAAGTACTGGAGAATGGCACTGCTTGCCTATGTTGGAATGGAAGGAGCTGGATAGCTTTTCTGTATTTTGGGGACTGTCTCTCCTAGCCTTTTTTGTGCCCTACTGATTAGCTCAATAAACACATTTGAGTCAGTCCCAGGGTGTGGCTGAGATTGTTAAACTGATGGAGGTCAGGTTCTGTGCTGGTGTCTTCAGCCCTCTGGCAAGCTCCATGGCCCAGTGAATAGATGCTTTATATGCTGGATCTCAAGGATGTGGTGCTTAGTAACTGAGAAGCTGGCTTCCTTTGAGTAGTTTATTTAGTGGAGACGGTTTATGCCAAAGAGGAAATGTAGGTAGCACCCTGATTGGCTGGAAGGTGGGCCTGCCTCATCACCTGCACTGAGACCAGGCCAGTCCACTTATCTTGGTAGCCTTCACCCAAGGTTTCTTTCTAGGGGTAATTTCATGCCCTCATCCTAAGACACCTGTCATAATTTGAATTTTTATAGATTCTCAGATATCTTAGTTGGGAGGAAACTTAGACGTTATTCTGAAGTCCAACCCCAAATCCAGAGTCCTGACACCACCTTATCCTTCATCCTTGCCTTCCCCAGCTAGTTCCTTCACCATGTCCTGGCCACTCATTCTCCCCAAGGAGCAAGGGTTCTGAGCCCCACATCTGGCTCCCCAGCCAGTGAGAGGATGATTCCCCCAGAATGTTTGACTTTGAAGGCCAATGGGTCTTACTTTCAGGAGACCCAGAGCGCTGGGGGAAATGGAGACTCCACTCTTAAAGAGTGTGCACAAAATTTCACATGCTCTGGGGGCCAGGGAACAAGCAGTGATTTGAAAGAAGCCTGAGTCAGACCCACCTGTTGATCTTGAAGAGTCTGCTAGAGAGGCAGGCGGTGTAACTGGAGCTCACCCTGGGGACATGAACACTGTCAGCAACCATTTTTGGTGCTTGTTCTACCACATGGATCCTGGTGCTGGCAAGTATAATTTTGGAATCCTCTCTTCTAGGTCAGCCTTGGGACCTAGCCTCATCCCTACCCCCACCCCCACCACCTGTAGGCACCAGTCCTGGGATGCCTCAGGCCAAGCAACGAGCCAGGGCTCTGGTGGGCCCTGGGGCTGGTGTACCCCTGCTGGTGTGTTAGTTGGGTCCTGACAAAGAAGCTGTGAGGGTGTGGTGGTCCTGGGGCTGGTGTCCACCCACTGGTGGGCCAGGCTGGCATCCAAGATAGCCCCACCTACCAGCAGGTAGGCTGCCTTGAGACCCTGAGTCCACAGCCACATCTGGACATAGCCTTGTCCACTAGAGGGCACAGGACCTGGCCTCACCTCACACACCAGACCACCCAGCTCCGCCCACATCAGCAGGCACCAGCCCCAGGACACCCTGGGCTCTGGTCCATGTACCAGTTAGCCAGCACTGGCCTCAGGACTGACCTCACATCAGTGGACAGGTACCAGCCCCACCTACCAGCAGGTGGATATCAGCCCCAGGACTGCCACCACCCCACAGCCTGCTGTGGCAGGACACAGCCCACCCACCAGCAGGTAGGCATCAGCCCGGGGATCCCCCAGGCCCTGCCCTTGCCCACCACCAGGCCAACTCCAGCTTTGGGATACCTTGGGCCCTGTAGCCAGAGACCCTGGGATCCAGCAACATCCATTAGCAGACTGACAACAACTTCAGGGCCCAGGGCCCTGTAGTCAGAGACCCCAGGACCCAGCTCCACACACTAGTGAGCCAGCACTAGCCCTGGGACCCCAGGGGCCTCCCTGGGTCCCGACTCCCACTAGCAGGCCAACAGCAGCTCTGAGATCCCTTTGACTCCTCAGCCAGATGACCTAGGATCCAGCCCCACTCAGCAGACCAGCTTTGTGACAGCCTGGAACCTGGAGCCATCTGAATCAGGAAGCAGCCCCACCCATGAGCAGGCTGACGCTGGATCCAGTCATTCTGGACTCACAACCACCTCAGAATCTGGCTCAGACCACTACTGAACCAGCACTAATCCCAGGACCACCCAGGGTTCCACAACCAGCTGCCTTGGGATCTGGCCCTGCCAACTAGTTGGCTGGCAGCCTCTGGACACGGCAGGGCCTAGGAGCCAACTGGACTGGGGGCCAGCTATACTTACCAGACTGCCCATAGTAATCGGCCTGCCTCAACAGAGGAACCCATGCTACCCACATGGGGGTACCCCTAGAGCACACAGCCCTGGTGACCAGCGGGGAGCATGCTGCTAAGATGTATAGGATGTCTCCTACAAAACACCACTTCTCCACCGTCAGGAAATGCAGTCAGCCTACCAGATACATAGGAAAAAACAGCAAATTAGGCAAAACAAGGTGACAGAGGAATGTGTTTCAAATGAAGGAACAAGATAAAGTACCAGAAGAACTAAGTGAAGTGAGGATAGGCAATATGCTAACTAAAGAGTTGATGGTAATGGACGTAAAGATGATCAAAGAACTTGGGAGAAGAATGGGTGAATGGAGTGAGAAGTTAGTTTTTAACAAAGTTAGAAAATTTAGAGGAACCCAGCAGAGATGAAGAATACAATAACTGAAATGAAAAATGCACTAGAAGGAATCAACAGTAGATTAAATAATATAGGGGAACAGATGAGTGAGCTTGGAAGACCGTGGTGTAAACCACTGAACAGAGAAAAGCAAAAGAACAAAAAGAAATAAGAACAGTTTAAGAGACCTCCAGGAAAACACTGAGCATCCTAACATTTGCATTGTAGAGGTCCCAGAGAGGAGAGAGAGAAAAAGCGGGCAGGGAACACATTTGAAGACATAATAGCTGAAAACTTCCATAATCCAGGAAAGGAGACAGACATGCAGATCAGGAAGCAGAGTCCCAAAGAGGACCACACCAAGACATGTAATTAAAATAGCAAAAAATTAAAGCTAAAAAGTGAATATTAAAAGCAGTAAAGGAAAAAGTAACAAGGTACGCACAAGGGAACTCTCATGAGACTATCAGCTGACTTCAGCAGAAACTGCAGGCCATTAAGGGAGTGGCATGGTACGGTGAGCAGAGGGAAAAACTTGCTGCTAAGAACACTCTGCCTAGTAAGGTGTTCATTCAGATTTGACAGATCAAAAGTTTTACAGACAAGCAAAAGCTGAAGGAGTTCAGCACCACCAAACCAGCTTTATAAGAAATGTTAAAGGGGCTTATCTAAGAAAAAAAGGCCACTATTAGAAATACGAAAATTACGAAAGGAAAATGCTCAGTGGTAAAGGCAAATATACAGGAATGGTACATTAACCACTTACAAGCCTGTGGGAAGGTTAAAAGACAAAAGTAGTAAAATCATCTATAGCTGCAATAAGTGGTTAAGAGATGCACAAAAGGAAGATATAAAATATGTAAAAACAGTGATTATGGGGGGGTAGTAAAAATGCAGGGTTGTTAAATGCATCTGAAATTGAGAGATCAGCAATTTAAAATAGTCACATGTATATAGATTTCTCAATATAAGCCTCATGATAACAACAAGCCAAAAATCTATAACATATACAACAAATAGGAATTCAAACATAACACTAAAGATAGTCAACTCACAAGGGTATAGAACACGAGAAAGGAATAAAAGAATTACAGAAACAACCAGAAAACAAGTCTGGCAATAAGTGCACACCCATCAGTAATTACTTTAAATGTAAATGGACTAAATGCTTCAATCAAGAGACACACTGGTTGAATGGATAAAAAAATAAGACCCATACCTATGCTGCCTACAAGAGACTCACTCCAGATCTAAAGACACACAGAGACTAAAAGTGGGATGGGAAAAGGTACTCCATGCAAATGGAAATCAAAAGAAATCTGGGGTAGCAATACTTACATGAGACAAAATAGGCTTTAAAACAAAGGCTGGAGGTGGGGCCTCTAATGACAGCTTCTGGAGTTAATTATATGGACACTAAGGTAAGGGGTACGTGGACCCTTCACCCCTCAGATGTGACTGCTCTGCACTGTTGTTCATGCTGGTTATTTGTGCCCTTGTCTGTGTAGGGAGACACCCCACAGTGTGGGTTCACACCCCTCATAGAGCTCAATTTCCATGCAGTGTTTACTCCAGGGTTACTAGCACCACTGGGGAGCAGGCCGCGTGAACGGTTCCGTGATCGTGGGGCCTACACTGTGGGGTAAATAATGCGTGTGAGCAATTTAACAGGTGCCATTCTAGTCCGTGCCTTCTGAATAGTATAAAAGCTAGAGAGAAGCTCTTCTGATTTGAAAACCCTCATCCCATTGGCAGGAAGTAGCCCAGGCCCTTGAAAAATGAGTAGAGAGCAAGTGAAGATCTAACATACATCCTTACAGTTTCACTTGTGTCTTCCTTCTTAAAAATATCAACAAAAAACAAAAACAGAAAAACCCGAAGGCGGAACAAAGACTGGCCTGAGAGCAGGGCAGGGGACAGTGAAGAGACCGGCCTAGAGGCCATGCTAATCCTGGCTCTCAGGTGTGGTTGGGCTAATGCCACAGGATTAGACAGGATTAGACAGAGATGGGCACGTGGATCGGGCAGGCCTCAGTGACCACAGCCCAGGAGTTGGGCCACCTCTCGGTTTTCACCACACCCTGGGCAAGAATCCTCAACACCGACCTGTGGCTCTGGTTTGGAGCTCACCAAGCTCCTCTCAGCCCAGAGGCAAGCTCAGCACGGGGTACGACAGGACACAAAGCATTCTGATCCCTTGTCACTGCTGATGGCAGCATCCTGGTCGGTTTGAGTTCAGTAAATGAACATAGCTGGGAAAGCAATTTGGAGCAACACTGGGTGGGGCACGACAGCTCGAGTCCAAGAGTTGGCGGCGGGAGTGGGAAGAAGCTCAGGTGGTGGATGGGAAGCCTTCAGTTTCCTGATGGGCCAGAGATTAGGGAAGAGTCCCAGATGACTATGCCTTGGGCCTGAGCAGCTGGAAACCCTTGGCCTTCAGCTGGGGGGACAGGGCTGCCGATGGGGCAGAGTTCAGTTTGGGGCACGTTGACAGGCATCCAGGAGAAGGTGCTCAGTGGGACAGCTGGAGTTAGAGGTGGGAGTTCAGGAGGGAGGTCTGGGCTGGGATTCGACATGGGACTGGTGGGCACCTAGGCATGTGGATGACCGCTTCAGGTGTCCTCAAGAGGCAAGGGACAGTCAAGTGTTGCCTGGCTCCTAGGCAGTCCCCCCTGGTTCTTCCGCTTACAGGTCTTCCTCTTCCCAAGTTCCACACATTCCCCACCCCTTAGCTGGGCGAGGGCCTTCTTCTTAAGGAGAAACCAGGGCCCCTCCCTCCCGCGGGAAGGACATTGCTCTCACGTCCCCGAAACACCTCTTCCCTCCCCCTCCTCACCCTTCCCCAGGCCCTGGCCTGCCCAGGGCTGTTACCCACAGACAGGGCGAGGAAGGGGGCCTGAGCTGCCGCCCTGCTCGCCCTGAAGCACAGCGTGGGTGGGGACAGGGAAAACCTGTCACTGTCACTTTGTCTCTTGAGGGCCTGAGGTCCACGCCCCTGTTCACCGCACTGAGGCAATCTGAGAGAAGGAAGTGGGGCAGGTTTGTGGAGAGCACCGAGCAGCGGCTTCCAGGGCCGGCTCACACGTAAAAGCTTCCTGCGATGAGAACGGAAACACAAGTGCTGTCCCCACCTTGGCAGCCCCCAGAGCCGGGGCCCGAGGGAAGCCATGGACAGGCCCCGGGCCCTGGGCCTGCTCTTGGCGCTGCTGACTCTCTGCATCACGGCTGGTGAGTGGGGGCCTGCGGAGAAGCAGAGGCCACGGGGGCGGATGGAGAACCCGCCTGGGCCCTTCCTATGCCTGTGCCCCACAGGGACCCCTGAGGTGTGGGTGCAAGTTCAGATGGAGGCCACCGAGTCCCCGTCCTTCACCGTCCGCTGTGGATTCCTGGGATCTGGCTCTATATCCCTGGTGACTGTGAGCTACGGGGGCCCCGAAGGTGCTGGAGGGACCATGCTGGCGGTGTTGCACCCAGAATTCGGCACCCAGCACTGGGCCCCTGCCCGCCAGGCCCACTGGGAAACCAGAACCAGCATCTCCCTCACCCTGGAAGGGTCTGAGGGGAGAAGCTCTAGTCCCAACACCACCTTCTGCTGCAAGTTTACTTCCTTCCCCGAGGGTTTCCAGGAGGCCTGTGGGAACCTCTCCCTCAGCACAGACCAAGGTGGGGTTCAGGAGGGGAGGGCACCCAGGGAGGACAGGGAGGGACGCAGGGACGCGGGGGTACCAGCTGTTGTCTGCTGTGTGTGTGTGTGTGTGTCTCTCTGCACG